AAGGATGGGTTATATATCGCGAGGTAGGACAGCTGTGCGGGGACAACCGAACTTAGCTCCTTCGCAGGCATCGCATTGTTTATCGGACGCTCCTCAACGATAGCATGGCTGAATGTGAGTGTTAATAATAGACGTACACACGGAAACGAAAGATTTGGGTTTGAAACGGGTTACTTTCTAGAGCTTGATGCTGTTGGTTTACTTCAGTTCCTCACATGCTTCAGCGGGATTTCAACTGTTGGTTTAACTAGTTACCCACTTTCATATGCGCTATTCCAAACTGGGTAGTTATAATTGAGTTTCCGACGGAGTGTCCAAGGTTGCAGTTTGTTAATGAAATCAGAGAGACTTTTAAAGATAAATAAATCTTTGTTGAAGAAGATAATTATCCTATTTGAAGTATCAGGAGGCAAACTAATTGTAGAGAATGTTAAGTTATTAGTTAACTAGTTAGTTAGCTAAACTAATTACCTGTAAGTTCTGAGACCCATACAGTCACGTGATGTACATGCACTCTCTCCGCGACAGCTTCTTTAAACCACAATTTCAGTTTCCCAGCAGCTCAGATTTCTCTCATGGACAGATGAATATATGGTGACCTCGGGGCTCTTTCTGCATCGGCCGTTGCTGGCTTGTCCGACGTATTTTGGCGTTCGATTTACTTCCACCAAGACATGCGACCCTTTAAGGATTCTCTTCTGCGGCTCTGATAACTTCAGCATTGCATCGCTGAATTCCCTTTACAAAGAACATGTCAATAATCCGGGAACAATTGCCTCAATTGACGTTGTTTGCAGGCCTGGGAAGAGAGTTGGGCGAGGTTTAAAAACCTTTCGTGAAGGTGCTTATACTTATATCAATAGTCATATCTGAGCAACTAGGCTAACGTTGAGAATAAAGTCCCAATTAAAGCTGCTGCAACCCAACTGTCACTCCCGATCCATGAAATCGACACGTTTACTGGCTGGAAAGTGAGTATCCTTTACATAAATAGAAGCTAGCATATCGCGTCATCTGACCTTTTCAATGAGTAGCCTCCGCGACCGCAAGGGGCTGACATCAATTTGATCATTGCTGTTTCATTTGGTCTTTTCGTCCCACAACGAATACTAAGCACTGCAAAATATGGAGGTCTTAATGTTCACCCTTCCTTACTTCCAGAGTAAGTTTTATCCTACCCACTGGTTTGGTGGCCAATCTAACTGAATATATTCAGTTTTCGAGGGCCTGCCCCTTTACACCATACGCTCTTAGCCGGAGAGACGAGAACGGGAGTTACACTCCAGACACTTGATGCGAAGAAGTTTGACCACGGAATGATCCTTGATCAAACACCACCTCCAGGCTTCAGCATACCGGATCCAGATACGTGCGATGTTCCGCGTCTGTTGAATTTGGTGTCTGAGAAAGGCGCACAGATGCTCGTGGAGGGTATTAGAAATCGTGTTTTTGTTCCCCCTCTGAAAGGCGTGGGATGGTTTAAACCAGTTGAAGGAGTTTCTCTTCGGTATGCCGGGAAGATCACACCGGAAGACCGACATATCAATTGGAAATCCTGGACTGCAGATGAAATAAGTCGATGCCAACGGGTCCTTGGGCCGTTGTGGAACAATGCTGTTGTTCGGGTTGCCCCCGGCGGTAATTTCGAGCAAAAGAGAGTTATATTCACCAAGATGGAAACTGTTGAATCTATCCCGGGCAGCCCCTGCTCGACCCAAATCGATCCTGGGTTGGTATTCGCGGTTCCAGATCCAGAGACTAAAGCTGATGGATTAGATCAATTCTTATACATAACTACGAGTGACAAGAAGGTTTTCCGGATACACGAAATCAAAGTTCAAGGTCAATCATCAGCACCTGCTTATCGAGCTGCGAAGAAAGCTAATATGTTGGATCTACAACCTATATGTTCTCCACAGCTCGCTAGATTTTTTGCAGGCCTTGAATAATACAAATATTGAATATTGGGCGATATAGAGTACATATTGAGTTATTAATTTTCTTACGAACTTCCTATGACACCCCTACTAGTTTACGCGAGGCGGTCCTGAGCACGATCTATATGTATTTTGTTGCATTATTGTTATATTCGAGGAGTTCAAATAACGAGATCGGAGTTTATACAGGTTCTCTATCCCTCCCACATCCGTTGTTAGCTTAAAAACAGCTTGACGCATTCATTTCTTCCTCTGCCGGAAGGAGCAACATTATCGAATGAAGCAGCCCGAATCTAAATTTTCCATAATCAATAATTTCCTTTCAACCAATGATTCTGGAGATAAAGATATCCATACCAACTTGGATCTGTTGCCCAGTCATGGACGTATTTTTGGCAAGCGTGATAAATACATCGGCGCAGTCCTCAAGATCAGGCTTTGTGATGCACGTGGTTAGGGCATTTCATCAACACTCTTTTCTAGTATGAATTTACGGTATATAGTTACTTACTACATGCTTTAGGACGGCCTTCTCTTCGTATATGTTGATTGCCTCCTTGGGGAATTTCTCGCCCTGCCTTGGATATTAACATATATGTATCGACAGCCAGATAGCTATCCGGGCTGCACATACCCATTCCGTGAGGATAAGTCCTGGTAGAACAGCATTGGTGCGGATCTTCGATCCCTGAGTTGAAGCCAGTGCTTTCATCAGATGCAGTCCTATTATGAGTCAGCTAGGATGGGCGATGGAGAGTTCTATGTAGAGTTCTATGTAGGAAGTGCGGATTTGCCCACCTGCAGCTTTAGAAACGGAGTACGCCATGCTACTCCCTGCTTGGGAAATACCCTGAAGCATTCTTTAGCCTAAACGCCTTCTTCCTATACCGTCTAATGGAATATAATACTGACCGCAGTGGATGATGTCATGATAAAGACACCGTCTTCGGGATTCGCGTTGAAAGTTGGCTCTGCCTCTCGGAATATGTGCAAGTTTGCTTTAACATTAGTTGCCCAGCACTGTTGTTAGAGGGTGGAGGTGGGAGATTAGCATTTTATATATCCTTCCTAATGTTCATAGGAATTGGACTAAAAAATACATACCTTGTCCCATTCCGCTTCGTTCAATCCATTCAGATCTCCGAATCTGGAGAATTTTGTCCAGCCCTAGAAAATTCATTATATGTTTAGTTAAAAGTGTCTTTTCTATTACTTCAACTTCTCTTTCTCTACTTCCATGAGAAGAAAAGTGAAATGGAACTCGTACAGCATTAGATATCACAATATCAAGCCCTCCCAGCCGCGCAATCGTTTCCTTGACCAGCCTAATGCAATCTGCCTGGATGCCTACATCCTGTAGAATAATCAATATTGTCTTGATATCAGCACGTGATTTCCCCCTACAGTTGCAAGTTCGAAATCCTGGAACGTACTGCTTGCACAAGAACGACCTTAGCATTATACTTCTTTTCCAATTCCTCAGCAGTTCCCTTTGCACGAGCTTCGTTTGAGACGTAGTTGATTGCGATGTTGGAACCCTCAGCCGCGAACTTTTTGGCTACGAGAGCTCCTAGACCTCTTCACAGAGGAAGCGAAGAATTAGAATTTAGATTCATTTATGCATTCTTCCTCCTTCTTGATTTTCTCCCCTCTCCTTAGATTGGGTTGTTTGGGCATGTTCAGAAGCGGCTTCGTGGCGGGTAGAATTGCCAGTAAACGAACCTTGAGCCTCCTGTAATTAGAATATTTCTTCCCTTGAGACAGTATGGCATGGCTGTGTCGGATCTCTAGATTCGAAAGTTTGTGAAAAGAAGGGGGTAACCATTCGATATGATTGGAGTTCTGAGGATTTTTCGACTCTACTAAGGTTTACTTGCTTGGTGGTTCACACCTGTCCAGCGTAAACGCCCTCGGAACCCCACTGTTCCACAGCCATATATTTCTCGAAAAAGTTCCACAGCGCTGAGGGGATCGTGATAGCTTAAACAGCACTTCTACTAATAACCTCGGCATTTAAAGGAGTTGTGGAGACGTTCCCTGTTTAACTTGGAAAATCTAACCTTGACAGCAACAACACAGGACAATCAATTGTTTCTCTTTGTTTTATTTGCCACTGGTCTTCTAGTTGCGCAAGCTCCCGATCAATCCACTTGATGCTGTTATCCAACCCCTTCAAACCCACTCACAGAAGACACTCTTTTTTCTGGTCCATATTTGCCGATTCCCTTCACAATATGAAGATGAATTCCACTGGATAATTTTATACGACTCAGAGCTATCATCATCGCAGTTTCTTGTCGATGATCTTGAGGGTGTATGTGCTGCGTTAACGCGTAGTATTTTTTTATGCTGTTTCCCCTGAGAAAGGGATTACTATGTCTGCTTTTGATATCCCAAGGTGTGGATATAGGCCAACGCAGGGAAAATGCATATTGTCTCGCTGCAGTTGTATATGGAAGTGCACAGAGATAAGACCCTTGGGCTTGTTGGCTTCTTTCGTGTTTATCAGAAACAGGTTTATGCTGTTCTTTTGATCATTTTTGGATCAGAATGATATATAGTACAGCCCAATAGAGCAACCCATTTGTCAAACAGGACCATGGAATCATGAGATATGTTTGTCTCTATTCCAGCCTTTATATGGCATTTGCTTCTGCTTTGAATCAGACTTCTCTCTCGCCGAAAGATTAACTGAATGTACTGTGACTGATCAAGTTTTGTCAGATACAATGAGCCTATAAGACTGTATCTCAGCTAGATATCTCTGATGAGCAGCTGTCAGTCCAAATGAAGAGTCAATTCGACCAGTGCATGAGAGTGTCTTACCCAAGGAAGCTGCCTTCTTCAGATGCGCTGCTTGCTGGACAAAGGTGCACGTGCCATCTTGACTGTCCCTATTCTCAACCCCTTTCCTGTCCAATAGTTGCCATCTTCAACATTTCATCTCGTTCTCATGTGCTGAACCCCAGTTCGTAAACCTTCATTCACCTCTAAATTAATCCATTATTTTTTTCAGTTCTAGAAAGCTTTCGACAGGAAAACGAAAGAGTAGAGGCTATGGGGATGTCACCCGGTGGGGAGACGGAAGACGCGTTTGTTTCTCAAGCTGGAGGCATCAACCCAGCCAACAAAGGTAACGTTATCAAACTGGGGCTGGGTGTTGCTCTACTCAAGTAGCATTTTAAGGAGTTTGCTACCAGGTAGCTAACGGGAAATCTGGAGGAAAAACCTGTAGCTGCAACGTCTGGAAGCTCCATGAACCACGGGGCTCGTCATGGTTTCAAATCCAGACTGCTGCAAAAGTTTCAGAGCTACCTAGCGAAACGTATTGGACGTGGTAGAAAGGAGATGGGGTATCAACTACGTCTGTCATCTCTTGTAGCCCTCCATTCCTCTTTATTTGCAAAAGGTGAATGTGCAAAAGTGAACTAACATTGGGTTGCCAAGACCTGTCAACTGCAGAACTTTCTTCCCCTGCCGTGCAATTCAAGACAATGTCGCATAAAGTTAAAAACTTCATGGGATTTACCACTCTGAACACCGCTATTGTAGCCATAGAGAGTGTTAGGCATGGGAATACTCTTGCAACAGACGAAATGCCCGAAGAATACAGTCATTTCAAACAGGATTTGCCCATGGAAGGCCATGAGGACTTTGATGCCCAGAACCCAACAACTGACTCCATCTTAAACGAAACAGTTATTCGCCCCCTGCGAATGAATCCGGTAACAAGTGAAGAAGAGCTCAAGGAGCTTGATGTCACTGACGAGTACAGCAACACGTCCCATATCGATGAACCGCTTGAACGGTCAGAATCTCCCCCGATGTACATCATGTCCACCGTTGCCACGGTTGATGAAGATGAGGAAAGGGGTAGTTCGCGAGGAAGCACAATTTACAGTCGGAAGGAAGCTGATGACCGCAGCTCTACCACTTCTGTTAGTATTTCATCTTTGCCTCTATTCACCCCGCTGGGTCTGTCGGTGGCCTGGAGGGGACTGGGTCTGTCTCTGGACGTTGAAAGCCTAGTTCCTCGTTCACCCTATCGCATGGGCAGGGAACGCCGCTATGGCTGGATCGAAGGACAGCCGTTTCACGTTTAAGTAAAACACGCCATCTCATTTCAAGTTATGTCGGAATATATATGAGACACAACTTACTGGCTTTAAGAGTTTCTTCTCTTTCCATATTTGTTTCCATTACGGCGGTTTCTTTTCTAGGTGGTTTTCTCCTTTCGATCGGGTCCTTTCTTTGCATTATTCATTTTTCTTTCTTCTCTTTTATCTTGTCATATTTTATCTTAAATCTGGATTTCTTCCCTTCGAAGCCTTTGTCCGCTTCGAAGAATCTGGTAATAGAGGGGCTAAGCAGCGACACATCTTCACTCTTCATTTGATTTTAACCTATACTGCATTCCCAGTTGGCCCCCTGGCGGCAATTTCCACCTTGGAACTTGAACCAGTTTTTCCTATTATTTTCTTGTTACCTGGTCACAGAAATCGCAAGATTTCACGTTTGTTCGTTGCCAAAGTAGGTGATGAATTTCTCTTCATATCTCGATTTTTCAATTGCTTTATCAAGTTAAAACATGTATTCAAATGTTTGCGGGTTGCAGTTTTCTTCAAAAGTTGAGGCACAGACATGCCTTTAAAAGAGTGAGTTAGTTTTTATGCTCAACTAATCCAAGTCAGAACCCAGGTACTTTATTGTTTCTTTTGAATTGCAATGTATGAACTTCGAAGGAAGTTGGCGTGATGCACTTACATGGCTGGAATTGACCTCGTTACCGATATGAGAATACCGGCGTACAGTTCAAATTTAATTTGGGAGTGAGAATCCGAGCGTAAAAATATGTAGATTATGGGAATACCCAAATGAGATAGTATATAAGATAAGAAAAAGAAGACCAGTCGATGTTTTACCTTGATGTAACGCGAGCATGGTGATTGACAAGGTATCCGTGAACAAACACATTATAACCATGCACACTGGAATCCTCAGACAGAAATAATTTAAGAAGAAAAGAGAGAAGCGCGAAACAATGCATACCGAATCCTACCAAACAAGGACCAAAAGGATCCCCGAATAAACCCCCCCCCCTTCTTCTGTTCTCGTTAAAATTCTCTCTCACACGCCTAAATACGGAGCCACTTTCCCACCCACATCTCCGAAACGCCAGCAAGAAAGAGGGCATCGTAAAAAGTAACAAGGTGTAGCATCGATCATGTAAGTTTTTGTTTAATGAAAAAGGATCGGAGGTGGGAGAGTTGCCATGCGCAAGTCAGTGAAAGAAGGGCGAGTTGGATTAGAGTCCAGCGGACCACTCTGGCGTTGGTGGCTTCAGATTGGTCGCGGAACAATGCTTCCCGTTCCTATGATGAGAGTGAGATCAGTATAGTGAAATTTAGTAGCCCGTAGAGGGATATAACATAATATCACATACCCGTTGGAAAACCTGCTCTCGGCGGATATCTTGAAGTCTGCTATTGAGATTTTTGACTCTCTGAGCCATATCTTCCATTTTAGATTTATCTTCACTCTCGATTTTGCTGGTTTCTCCAATGGCCATGTCGACGGTCAATTTAACCGCAGGCGAACCCGCAAGCCATCCTCCAGAACCGGTGTCTGGGGTGAAACAGAGCTTGTGCTGGCCGGCATCTGCGGCGGAGAAGGTGAAACGTCCAGCATTCCCTCCACGCTGGAAGACGACGCGGTGATCATTATCAAATGTCTCATCTACCGTAATAGTAATGCCAACAGCAGGATCCGTAGTGTAAAGGTTGGTTTCCGGCTGTAAGACTTCAGCCTTGTAATGACCTGGCGCCAGACAGAGTCAGTACAAAAAATCCACTCAAATTCATTAGAGAGATTGGCGAAGTGCAATATATCACGGATTCAAAGAAATGCTAACCAACAACTAGAGTACCATGAGGCAGTTCCTCAAAGAAGCATTTTTGATGCTTTGGTTGGATGTAGAAATAGAGGGAGTGTACAGGAGTCAAGAGGGTGAGGATCGCAATTGTTGCGAAAAAGGACGACAGCCAGGGCTGAGAACGCGACGTCATGATGGAGATTCAAGCCAGGGAACGGCTGGAATTGCAGAGCTCCCTGAAATTTTGAGCCTGTGTTGATCCGTTGATCCTGAAATAATTTAATATACGGGGGTTTAAGTTGCAGCCGGAGCGTTGAAGTGTCCACTTCGAAGGTCACATAGATGCAAACAGTGCAAACATCCGCATTTTGGAACCTGGCTCCCCCAGATTTCCGTCACAAAGAACGACTTGCACTGGTCAAACTTATCAATAAATCCACATTTTCATCTTAAACCCATTTCCTTTTCTACAAGGGATATCTATATCTAGAGGCCTTGTCTATTTCCTTACTCTATATTGTTTCTGGGCGCGACATCGTGCTCCGCATCGGCAGCATGGCCGTCGCAGATGTCCGTGATATGCTCGATCTGCCCGTCGATGGCGGGCATCCTAGACCTCACAAGAAACAAAAAGTCGTTGAAAAAAGACCTGGTAAGCGGAACTTTGGACTTTTTATTTTGATTCTTCTGTGAGGTAACAAAGATACACTTTGATAGAGGGTATTACTCGCGAGCTCTTTGCTCTTCTTGGCGAGCGTGCTCCGCCAATCGCTCTAAACGAGAATAAATACAAGGGACGGCGGAAATGGGTGAGCAAACTGAAAGTGCGGCCATGGTAAGGCTTTAAGGCTTATTATATCGGGATATGGTCTTTGGAAATACTCGTGCTGATGCGGTTCACCCATTGTAGGGAGATGGCACCGTTTGAAAACGACGCCCGTTCCGATGGCCTTGTTCTCCGACACTGGCAGCGAAAACGTGTTCCCGGTAACGAAGCACCCTCCCGCGAAAATGCAGTGACCGATTGGGAGGATAAAATGCAGACCGAAACCGCAGAACAGAGAGCTGAGGAACCCTATCCATTCGCGAAATATAACGTCAAAGTCCAGGTTCCAAAGCGGTATACAGATGAACAATACAATCGGTACCTAAAAAGCCATAACTGGAGTCGTGAAGAGACGGACTATCTTATGGAAATCGTCGAGGAATATGATTTACGATGGGTCGTAATCGTGGATAGATACGAATATCCCCCAAACCCACGAGGAGCCGAGGGCGACCTAACCGCGCTTGTCTCAACGACAAAACGTCGAACGATGGAAGAGATGAAGTCTCGCTATTATACCGTTGCCGCAAACATGCTGGCACTTGAGAACCCACCGTCTGAGATGTCTGAAACAGAGTTCGACCTTCACGAGAAGATGATGAAATATGACCCTGAACAAGAGAGAGCTCGCAAAGATTTGGCGATTTTACAATTGAACCGATCAAAGGACGAAGTTAATGAAGAAACTCTTCTCCTGGAGGAACTCAAACGCATCGTGGCCAACGAAAAGACTTTTATCGAAGAACGAAGAGAACTCTACGCCAGACTGGAAGCCCCGATCAGCACCAGTAATGCCACGATGTACCAATCAAGTCAAGGCTTATCGCAACTCCTCCAATCTCTTCTGCATGCCGATAAAAACAAGAAAAGACGCTCAATTATGGGGCCAGAAACCGGCACGTCCAGCCCTGCCAGCAGCCAACCAGGTGCTCAAAACCCCCCTCAGAGCGCTCGCGAAAGTAGGCCCCAGACTCCTGCTGCCACGGCACCGGTACCCGCAACGACCAAGAAAGCTGCCGCCAGCGCTGCAGCCCAACAACCAGCCGTCAAAACCCTAACTCCCGCCGAAGAAGCCAAGTATGGTGTCACCCGCCATGACCGTCTTGCCTCGGGCGTCCAGTTCCGCAATGACAGGGCGCAAAAGCTCACACAGGCAAAATCCAACATCCAATCACAGAAACTTGCTGCTGCGCTTACTGAACTTTCCATCCCACCCCGCCTCGTCATGCCGACGGAGAAAGTGTGCAAGGAATTTGAAAAACTGATACACTCGGTCAATTTGCTGCTTGACGTGCGCAAGTTTGCGGAGAAAGTTGAGGGAGAAATTCGTGTTCTGGAGGCTGCTAAGCAAGATCGGGGAAGGAAGGAGAGGGAGAAGTTGGAACAGGAGGCTAGGAGAGCTGAAGGAGGGAATGCTGGTGCAGGACAAGCGGATGAGAATCAGCAGGAGAATAAAGGAAAAGAGGGTGTGGGAGAGGACAAGGGAGATGCTACTCCTGTAGCTGCGGCTCCTGTCGACGTAGAAGCGCCAGCGGTGAGAGGGCAGAGTGAAGCCGGTGCTCTTAACAATGAAACTCACGAAGGGGCGAAAGAGGCCGGCGCGGAGGGTGTAGGAGCCGCTGGCTCGACCAGGTCTCACAAACGGAGCGCCAGTGTTTTAAGCGCGGTTAGTGATAAGAGTTCGAAGAGGCAGAGAAAGTAGATGGTGAGAAGCATGTTTTAGTTTTCCTGATTATGGGAGTTTGGGGTGGATTTTTTTTAGGTTTTTGCAGTCTTTTGTACCCTTGCTATTAACTTTGTAATAGTTAAGTACACCTACCTGATTCTTCGCTACAGGGGACAGATGGGGTGGATGGATGCACACCGGAGTTAGGAATAATTTAGTAAATAATTTCTGTTTGAAAACGGTAACCCGCTCAACCTGGTTGCTCCATACATCCCAAGGTTTCTTTGAAATTGTACCAGTTGGGCCTTCACTTCCTGTGTCCTAGGTCTCAAATGTATATCTGCTGGAGTATATCCCCATATCCTACTTCATTTAACTACCAGTGACGACACGATATTTTTTGGAAACAGACGGAAGTTGAATTGGAACATACCTAATGAGCAAAATGTTATCAAGAAGACCTATCGCTTTATCTGAACATATATCTATGGATAATCTACTTCGTACCAACCAGCAAGTTGCCGGGGACAGGGGTAAAAATAACGCCAACCTCCTCCGATCCGTCACATTTACATATTTGGTAAAAAAAAAAAAAAAAAAAAAAAAAAAAAAAAAAAAAAAAAGAAGGATATAATAAAAGACGGGGGATGTTCAAACTCTCGATACAAAGCAACTTCAAAAAGGCCCGCAAAACCTTCCATGCCGATTTCAAAAACCACAGGAACCTTTCCACAATGATCTGTGATGAATCCCGATCTTCCGTAGCCAGACCTAGACAATCCGTCCCCTACTGCCCCCAGGCCCGCTCTACTAGCTTAAGCAATCTATCCCTCGACGCTACCTCGTTAACAAGTTGTTCCTCCTTAAATTCCATAGTTGAGTTACGTAAATCCATGCTGGTCGATATTTTGTCGGATTTTTGCTTGTCGATCGGACCTTCAGGAGTACCCTTTGATACATCTACGCTATGACACACGTTCTTCGAAGAGCAAGACATGAACAGGTCCTCATCAGAGAATGTTCCAATGCAGTCATCGTACAAGCGCGACCAACCGTCCGCAGAACCTGGCTCCATCGAACTGTCCAGCCCAATCAAGTTGAAAGCAGAGAGATCCGGCTTATCTTCGGGATGAAATGTCCCTAATAGAGGAGTCGGGGGAGGTTTGACCTTTTTCTTCGGAGCAACGACCGGTGTCTGAGCTTTCATACGTTGCTTATGTCGGTTAACTTCCAGCCTGATATCTCCAATTTGCTCAAAAATAGGGTAACCAGTTGGTCCCCCAGGGATAATTTCAAGATCCGGATCCCTCAGGTCGTTGCTTCTCGAGGCATCCCTCCTATAGCCAGCGCGGTATCGCCTACGATCAATGGTATCGGAGCGATGCAGCGTGATCCAGTTAAACAGCCCCGAACTCTTTCTAGCAGAAACACGTATAACAGTTTTGTCATTTCCAGCTTGTGGCATGGGGCTGCTCTTTTTGTCGCTATTCGGCTCGGACGGCTGCTGAGTTGCGAAATCCCGGGCAACCACATTATCAGAGTGTCCAGCAGACTGGCTTTTTGCGTTCTTATTGTGGCTTGGGAATCTAGCCCACGATGAGAAGAACTTTTTGTGGCTATTAACAAAATCGTTGCCGTTCTTCTGCAGTCCTGTTAGCCTCACTTGAGACCCCATGCCCTCACAGCCAAGCTCCCACTCATACCCCTGGTTATTGCTTGCATCGCTCTGCTGACAGACGGCAGTTGAGTCACTGTGTAGTCTTCTAGAGTCTTCTAAAATATATTTCGGACTTAATAATCCTTCTCCAGGTAAGTTCGATGGTTCAACGCTTTCAACACCAGCGGCGTATTCTTCAATAGCTCTGCGTTTTTTGCCCTGTTGTACTGATTTTGATGTATATTCATCTGCTTCCTCGACAAAACGATAGCCGTAACCCCGGCGTTTGCCATCGGACAGCCACCCGTCGCTGAAACTCCTTCTTGTATCTTTTAAGTCACACTTACTGTTCCGAATTATAGGGTCACTGGCACAACTGGAACATCGGTCATTCTCACTGAAATCTTCGATGAACCTGCTTTGAGTATGAGATATCATTTGCTGCCCGGCTGGTAAGTTTTTAACAGGGGCGCTTAGGTTGCTGAGAGATTTCGTCCGTTCGCTATTGAGTAGATAGAATGACTCACTGCTGGTGGATACTATTGTATTGGAGCCAGTGACGATATGTTTTCCTTTGAACTGGGATACCTGTGGTTCAAATCCCGGCGTTGGGCTATCAGTTCGGCTTTTTCTAAAGTCCGGGAGAATCCTCTGGTAGTTTAGCCTTTGGGAGGTCGGAGCTAATGGTTGTCGATCAATTCTGGGAGCCCAATTAGATTCCCATGAAAACCTATACAGAGGCGACTCTAGACGCGGAGCACGTGGTCGACCATCGGCATCTTGACCACGTGGAAGATTTCCTATGTCTTCTATGCAATTTGACGAACTAGATATGGATACAGGTGCAAAGCCTGGGGATTTGAGAGAGCAGGGGCTTGTATGGAAACGGTCATTGAGCCCATCAAATCCTTGGCCTGTTGATTCATCCCACATTCCAGGTGCTGTTCCATCAAAGCCAGTTGGAAACAAATCACGGCTCATCCCCAAGGACCCGTTTGGGCTTCCGGAATTAGATAGCACCATTCTGGTATTATTAAGAACACCGGATATGCCGCTGCTGATACATTCCGTGATTTGCGGGGTTCCAATACAACGTGCATCACTATCATACTCCGCATCGCCGGTAGTCATAAAATCAACATTGATGATGGAATTCGTATGGAGGTCTGCATCCTGGGAGGCTGACCCATGTTGACTAGCGCCATACTCCTTGAATTTCCTGGAGGACTTTCTAGACACATGTGACTCCCTAGAGAGCCTCCTTCGAATTTTATGAGAAAGCTGAGCTAAACTGAGCCGACTGGCCTTGGAATTGAGATTTTTCGTTCGATTGACAGTCGTACGTGGAAACTGTTGAACATCTGGGGTAGTTTGAGCGGTCTGAGTGTTTGTGCGGGACGTCGAAGAGCGAAAAATTGCCTCAAAAGCGAGTCTTTCCTCACTTAGATTGTTTTCGACGGCAGAAGTGAATCTGGGTGGAAGTTCAGGGGGGGATAAACTGTCTGGGATCGGGGAATCCCCAGCCTTTGGGTTTGAAAACTTTGATCGCTGGCTTCGGGGGCATGGACTGAAAACCATTTTGAATAGCTTACGGCTGATTGCTTGCAGCAACTCTTCTGTTGGTGAGTCTAAGCTATAAACTTTTAGCTCGAATAAGGGGAAGCTGGGTCACAGTGTGACTGCCAAATTCACAGAAGATGGGGTATAAAGCGTGGGGCGTTCCTCTCAGCCAGTTTTTTCTCGCTGTTGGTCATCTATCCTTCTACAGCCAGTTTTGAGCGAAGCAGAGAAAAGTCTGCAATAGAACAGAGCAATAGATGCAGTAGATATAAAAACGACATCTTCTCTTGTTTACACGCCGGAAACTGGAGGAGGAAGGAGTTGACGAAGTCATGTATATATATACATATATACATATATGTAGATGGCGGTTTCCATTTTCCACGTCCAAAACAGAAATATCCTATTGGACTGTGTAGCGGTAAGATGTATCAAGAGGAATATCCGCCGCGGAGGATCATGCGCCGTGGCACTTTCTATGTCACGGATATACATACATACATACATACATACATACATACATCACTATATGGGTACATAGATGGAACAGTCGGAGAAGTGCCATCCCCCCTTTCTTCCGCGCGCTTGTGGAGGATGTGAGCATGTTCATATACTGCATCCCCTTGATCCCTCTTTTAGCCCCGCTGTCGTTGTTCACATACAAACATCGAGACTGGAGTAGGATAGGGATTCCCGTCCACTCAGCAGCACTGAAGCCACTCGCCGGCCTATCAGAAGTTGCGTGGGTGACCACCAGCGAATCTGGGCTTTCGATGATTTTTGGCATCGGTTTTATATATATATATATATATATATATATATATATATACATTGTTTTATAAGAATTTCAAATGGCTTGAGCTTTGGTGTTACTGTCAACTGCCAAAGATCTTCTAAACCCAAAGGTTTTCAATGGGGACGCAAGTCCTGCTGATATGAAGGGACTTGGGACAGCTGAAGTGTCTTCGCAACTTTCTCTTGCTGCTGATGAGATGTTTTTGTGTTATCGTTTGCAGCAACTGAGTATAACATTGTTTTCCACAAAAGTTGATATTCATATCACATGACCGGGATACGCTCCAAACTCGGGGTCACATGTATTTCTGCAGTAGCGTGACCAGAGGTACACTCCAGCCAATCATAGCGCAGCAATGAACCCCCCCCCTCCACCGCTTATTTTCTTTTTCTTTCTCCTGCTCTTTTCTCCCCCCCTCCATCCTCACCCTCATCCTCTTAACACTCTCGATCCTCTTTAACTCTCTCCATCCTCTACTCTTCCACCTTCTCTTAATCTACTCTCTTATCGATTAATGGGAGTTATCCTAGTGTGTGTCAGGGCTTGCAGATACCAATTCGCTGTGCTTTACAACCCCCCCGTCTGAATACTCAATATTTGAGTATCAATTGCCGGTGTCTGAATAGATAACTGCAAAAATGGTTCAATCGTAAGTGCACTCACTCTACATGCTTCAATTGAGTCACCATGCTAACCAGCGATAAAGATCTGTCCTCGGTTTCCCCCGTATGGGCCGTCTTCGAGACCTGAAAAAGGCCACCGAAGCTTACTGGGGAGGAAAACTCTCTCGCGATGAGTTGCTCATAGAGGGAAAGAGACTGCGGCTGGAGCATTGGCAGATCCAAAAGAGAGCTGGTGTTGATCTCATCCCCAGCAATGACTTTGCTCTCTACGACCAAGTCCTTGACCACATTCAACTCTTTGGTGTATGTTTGATTATTCCCGTCGTTCCGTGACCTGCAGTTTCCTTCTCCAGGTTGCTCTAACAAATATCTCGCAGGCAATCCCCGAGAGATATTCCAAGTATGGCCTCCACCCTGTTGATGAATATTTCGCCATGGGGCGAGGTCTGCAGAGACCCGCCAAGGATGGTGAGCCTGCTGTGGACGTTCCCAGTTTGGTAAGACTCTTCCACACCCAGACAACGCATACATAGAATTTCCCCGCATCCTAACATATTTTCAGGAAATGGTGAAATGGTTCGACTCGAACTACCATTACGTTAAGCCTACGCTGCAGGACTCTCAGACCTTCTCTTTGTCAAGCAATCCTAAGCCCGTTGTTGAGTTCATGGAGGCGAAGGAGGCTGGCATTACCACCCGTCCAGTCCTTCTCGGCCCAGTTTCTTTCCTTGCCCTCGCCAAAGCCGATCGTGGCCAGACCGTTGACCCTATTTCCCTCATTGGCAAACTCGTTCCCTTGTATGTTGAGCTTTTAGCCCGACTCAAGGCTGCCGGAGCTGAGGATGTTCAGGTAGATGAACCCGTCTTGGTTTTCGATTTGTCTGAGAAGACGAAGGCTGCGTTCAAACCCACATACGAAAAGCTGGGCGCCCTTGGTGACAAGGCACCCCGCCTGGTCTTAGCCACGTATTTTGGTGACATTGTCCACAACATTGATGTCCTTCCTTCCCTTCAAAATCTTCATGGTATCCATGTCGACTTGGTCCGCAACCCAGAGCAGCTCGACACCGTGATCAATGCTCTTGGACCCAAGCAAATTCTATCTGCTGGTGTTGTTGATGGCCGCAACATCTGGAAGACCAACTTCAAGCGAGCCATCGAGATCGTTGAGACCGCTGTCCAGAAACTTGGCAAGGAAAGAGTTATTGTTGCCACTTCTAGCTCGCTTCTTCATACTCCTCACACCCTCGAGAGCGAGAAGACCCTGGACCCGGAGGTGCGAGATTGGTTCAGCTTCGCTGTTGAGAAGGCCAGCGAAGTAACTGTCATCGCAAAGGCTGTCACTGAAGGACCTGCCTCTGTGCGGGAAGAAATTGAGGCTAACTCCAAGTCGGTCCAAGCCCGTGCATCATCCAAGCGGACTAATGATCCCAAGGTCAAGGAGAGACAAGATGCTGTCACTGACGAATTGCACAAACGCAACTCCCCCTTCCCAGTCAGAATCAGCCAGCAGCAGAAGAAGCTCAACCTTCCTTTATTCCCAACCACCACCATCGGGTCCTTCCCCCAAACCAAACACATCCGTCTCCAACGGAACAAGTTCACCAAAAATGAGATTACAGCCGAGGAATACGAGAAATTCATCGAGAAAGAAATCCAAGATGTTGTCAAAATCCAAGAGGAACTGGATTTGGATGTATTTGTCCACGGAGAGCCGGAACGCAATGATATGGTTCAGTACTTTGGCGAGAGATTGACTGGATATGTCTTTACTACCCACGCTTGGGTTCAGAGTTATGGATCCCGCTGTGTACGCCCTCCGATTATTGTCGGAGATATTTCCCGTCCTGCCCCTATGACCGTCAAAGAGTCGAAATATGCCGTCTCCATCTCCAAGAAGCCAATGAAGGGTATGCTTACTGGACCAATCACCTGTCTGCGGTGGTCTTTCCCTCGTGACGATGTTAACCAGTCCGTGCAAGCTCAGCAGCTGGCTCTTGCTCTTCGCGATGAGGTTGTTGACTTGGAAGCTGCTGGGATCGATGTCATCCAAGTTGATGAGCCGGCTCTCCGTGAAGGTCTTCCCCTCCGCTCTGGAAAGGAACGTGAGGCTTACCTCGACTGGGCCGTTAAGGCTTTTCGACTTGCCACTTCCGGCGTCCAGGATAGCACCCAAATTCATTCCCACTTCTGCTATTCCGAGTTCCAGGACTTCTTCCACGCAATCGCAGCCCTCGATGCTGATGTTCTCAGTATCGAGAACAGCAAGAGTGACGCCAAGCTTCTCAAGGTCTTCGTCGACGAAGCCTACCCGCGACACATCGGTCCCGGTGTATATGATATCCATTCTCCTCGTGTCCCAAGTGAGCAAGAGATCAGAGACCGCATCGAAGAGATGCTTCAATACCTTCGACCAGATCAACTCTGGATCGATCCCGACTGCGGTCTCAAGACGCGGCAATGGCCTGAGACCAAGGCAGCTCTCACCAACATGGTAAATGCTGCTAAGTTCTTCCGCCAAAGGTATGCTAAATAAATTAGCATTAATTAAAACACCCAGGGATTTTTGTGTGCTTTGTTATGTCGCAATTACGCTCAACACGTAGTGACTAGGATATATGGATAACGGAGCTTATTAATGATTACAAGATATAGAGACGATTTATTTAAATAGGGATTGATTTAACATGCATGCATTCAAAAAACCGGTGTTTCAGGGGAGCTGGGGTTGAATAATAAAATATTTTGTGGAAAGAAATATGGTATGGCATGATAAGGAGAGATAGAAAGGTGTACAGTTCTTTAAAAAAAAAAAAAAAAATACCTATGATCTCAACATCAGCTTTTTTTTTTTTTTTTTTTTTTTTTTTTTTTTTTAAGGTTATATTCAATTAAATTTTAAAGATAAAAAAATTTATTTTCTTCATTAAATTTGTAACATAGCTCATCATTAAATGAGCCATATTACAAAATGAGTTAAATTTTCCACCATCAAATTCCTTCAACATTCAACATTAAAGATGGGATATCATGGTCAACAATGAAGCAATTAAGCTTGCAATTAAAGATCTTGAATTGCAAGAGATTTCAAATTATAGCACAACTATGAAGAAATACTCAATTAATCAAGGAACTCTGCATTGATAGCATAATGGTCTTCAAATCAATCATAATAAAGCAGCCTTCTGATATAAGAAAAAGCTCTTCAATATACAGAAAGAAAAGCTTTTAGACTATATAAACACACTCTCTGACTTTGGCTTTGCCTTTACACCTTAGATTCTGTGAAATATTGTATATGAAATGATGAGAAATGAAGTAAAAATCAACTAAGTGAATTAATTTTGCAAGCAGTATAATGACAAGATCAAATGCATTTATCTCAAAGCAATTGATCAAAATAGACAGGTAGCAGATAATTACAACTGCTTTAAACACTTCTATACATTTATAATTTGATGATTTTTTAATTTATTACAAGTGCAGATGTTGAATTTGATTAACTTATTGAGTAGTTGAAGCAGAAAATTAATCAATAAAATATTGAATCACAAAACATCTACAACTTTGATGAAAAAGAATTTCTTCTAGACATTTATTATGTCTTAAAGTAAATAGTTTCTATAGAGACTCTATGAGTTAGAAAAAATGCCATCACTTAGAATGATAGCTGAAAATTCATCTCTTTTCTCTATTCAATATCTGTTGAAAAAATCTCACTTCTTCTTGCTTTTATTTATTAGAGTGAATCAAAAGATCTTCAAATTACATGACTGAATGATTATGATGAAAGTAAAGAGATCTACTTTACAGCTTCAACAAATGATTGAAGTAATGATGAATATGAATTATAGTAATTAAAATAGATCTTTAATTCTTATACAAAAATATAGATTGATTATGAAAAATATTTACTTCTACTAAATGAGCATTTATCTCATATAAATATGAAATTTATTGAATTCACTAATAGTGAAAAGATTTTACTTGTAGTTCTCTCATCATATTCAACTTATCACTTATAGTCTCTTGATGTTGAAGTTTTTGACCCACTGAGCAAGGTATATTTCAAAAAGCTGAAAGTACTACTATGCTATGGAATGAGCTATATTTGAATGACAAAGCAGGATTTCTAAAAGCTATTCAATGCAGCTTGGAAGAAGACTTTGACAAGTAAAAATATACAAGTTAACTTTGAAAAGACTAGAATTTATCCTTTGAATCCTCAATGTCAACTAAGTTGATTTCAAATTAATTAAGAGAATGAAGATTCAGCTTTATCTGTTTTATTCTCAATTTCTAACACTGTTTCACAACTTCAGTGAGAGATTAATAAAATGTGATTTCAGTACAATTAAAATTCACAGA